TACGGCGACCTACTTACCACTGGCTATCGTGCAGGTCACGGGTTCAACTCCAGGGAACTGTGCAGATACTGTACACAGGTAAGCTGAGGTCAAGGGATCGACCCCTGGGATCTGCATCGGCTACTGCCAAAGGTGAAAACTGTTTCACATCGCCCAACAGGGCATGTAACATTTTGCCTGTCCTATTTTTGTCTGCTTTCAGAACGTCGTTTCGGACTTGCAGATGTCCAAACAGACTACTGGTCTGTTCGGATCTGGGCCACGATTTGGGCCTCCTTCAGGCAGGTTCGCGACTGGGCCCTTTTGGGCCAGGTTCAGTTTCGTCCGGTAGCGGACATTCCCTGCTGCATCAGCAGGGAGGGCCTGGACGTCCGGTAGGGACTCAGGCAGGCCGTTTTAGGCCAGGACCAGAGGAGCAGGACTTTTCCCTGCAACCTGGACCGTGGATCGGACACCCGATCTCCCGGCCCAGATTGCAGGCCACGAGCACACCAGCCAGGCCCAGCGCTATAGATAGCTGGCCCAGTCCAGTTCTACACACACTTCAGTAGCTCACTTCTTGAGCGACACGCTGCTGGAGCAGCACACGATACAGAGCTACGCTAGGACTAGAAGTAGAGGCGTAGGTAGAGGTAGAGGGAGGTGGAGGCGGCGGCCATACCTGCCGTGGCGGAGGACCTACCTGGGCGCCATAGCTGGTCTTCTTGCCAGCGACCTGCAGCAAAGAGGGACATGCCGGTTTGTCAGAACAGGACGGAAGATACCTGCAGATGAGACAGCGGGAGGACGACATCTTCTCCCTGTTCTCGCCCTCCGTCTCTTCTTCTTCTTCTTCTTCTTCTTCTTCTTCTTCTTCTTCTTCTTCTTCTTTCAGAGAGAGAGAGAGAGAGAGAGAGAGAGAGAGAGAGAGAGAGAGAGACTTCAGGCAGAGGTTATGTCGGGCCATGGGCCCAGGATCTGACATTGATTGGACTTTCGGCAGGGAGACTATTTTTGGACTATGCTGTTGTGACTTTGGTCTTCTCCCTCCTCACCATCTTCGTCCTGCTCCCCTTCCTCCTCTTCATCTGTGGATTCCTCCCCATGTGCATGATCAAGGAGGGACCTTTCGTCTGTGTATGCGGTCCCTCCCCTTCACTCTCACATGTATGATGTCTGGGCCGTGTCAGTATCAGTCAGGTCAGGTCATATCTTTGAGTCTTCCACTGCGCCACATTGTGCTATTTTTGCATGTATCTGGATGTACATTGCTTGTTGATGTTCGCTGATGCTGCATTGTCCATTTGAGTCATTTTCAATGTTTGTGGATCCTTTGGCTCCATATACATCACTCAGTTGAGCATGTATGAATCTAGGACTATTGATCATTGGTTAGATTGGAAACCCTAGGATGCAGGCCCATAGGACCTCTGGTGGGCCTAATACTATTTAGCTGGGCCGTACCGGAACGTGTTAGAAGATTCAGCTCGTTACCACGCTACTGAAGAGCAGCACTGCGTTAGAGCCATGGACTAGTGCATCGTGATCAGCGCTACTGTTAGAGGAGCTAGGACAAGGTACTGGTGAGAGTGGAGGCCTACAGTGGGATTGGACAGAGGAGGACTTACCTGGATGCCATAGCTCGGGGACTGTATACCGACCATTTTCGGGCTACATTCTGCAATCTGCTGTGGTTCAGGACAGGATCTGCGTGTGTGCCTAGGCTACCAGCCGGGCCGCCCGGGTCCAGGGTGCCCAGCCCGTGCAAGGACAAGGCAAGGCCCCAGCGAAAAAAAAAAAAGAATCCAAGGACAAGGCAAGGCCCCAGCGGGAAAAAAAAAGAATCCAAAAAATCCGAGAAAAAAACTATGTTATGACAGTTATGCAGAAAAATAAAC